TAATAACCTATGTTATCTACATGTTAGGTAATCAGCGACAATTTCGAGGTTAAAGAAAGGTTATTCAAGGTCAAATATAGTAATATTTCTTCAAGAAGGACAATTGTTGAATTACAGAAATCTATCACCAAGATCTCGTCCCCAGTGTCACTTACATAATCTACTAGAGACCGAATGTACTTCAGCGTGTCTTTGATGGCGATAGAATACTTTATAAATGGGTTCCCATAAATCTTCTTCATTATAATGTCCCGGTACGTGAGGGTGTAAGACTGTCAATGATTAGCCACGGAAACCACCGATGTTATCGATCATGTCCGGACCTATTTCAACCCTGAACTCATATTTTATTACCTGTGTATTGTAACTTTTTATTACATCTAGCCTTTGAAATAAATACGTTTAAAGTAACGGATTCCGGGTCAAATGTCATCTGTACTTCAGCATCCACATTGATGAAACTGCAGGTGTGCCATCTATGGGCTACAAGCACTTTGTGCCCTTTTCCTTGCCCAAGGACCGGATTTCCTTGCAGGCTTAAGTGTTGTCATCATTGTATCTTATTGGTGACATTTGTTAATAACGGATGCCCTTTGATTCATTGAATGATCCTGTAATGAATATAACTACCACTTCAAAGTTCCGTTCTAAACTGCACTCATTGTAACTTGGAGAAAATACAGGTTTGAGTAACAGAACCTTTTTATGTACCGTTTGTAACCCGTATTTACCATATACCAAAACATCCTTAGAAAGAAACGTTTGATAAAACATCCGTAGCTTTTGTATTGGGTAAAGATAGCTTGTTTATTTAAGAAAATACTGAAGATATGTTTTTGACATAATGTGAAAGGGGAACATGGTAGCTACAACGAGATCCTATCAGTAGAACTAACATCCGGGGCGTTTTTATGTACCATGTTCTAATTTAGAATGCACTGTCACAGGCGTTTTCGACTCGAATTGACCTCCCTGATAGACTAGTCTAATCTCGAGACGACATACAGATAGACTGGTAGAACCAGGTATCGCCATTCCGATCTACAAATGTACCGTAGTGTCACAGGTACTGCCTCATCAAAGCACAGATTGTTAACACATCTTCATCGTGTTTTACACGAGCATAAAAGCTGCTTCATAGACATAGTCATCATACTTACACATCCCGTCTTGTCAGCGAACTCCGAGTAGGAGTAAACAGGCTATTTACCTCCGGATAATACATTCCGTCGCCGGCTTTTGTTTTAGAACAAATGGCGAATCTACTTTTAGCTCAGAGCAGGGCGCCTCAAGGCCCGTGAAGAAGTCCAACACACGTGCAATGGTGGCAGAGGCAATAGAGGCAAGATGGTCCTTAATGCTCCACATGTCGTATACAATACAAACATTTTTAGAGCCACCATGTCATGCTGGCAATAAAGCCTTTGGTACACGATATACGAGTAACGGTTTTGGATTCTTCATCGCCATTAATGGAATAGACTTGATAGAAATGTCTCCACTTTCTGAAGGTGCCGACAGGTGTCACTTTCGGCATCCTTTCCTGTTCTGAGACTGGTTAATGAATAAAATCTCACTGCTGATTGAGAGTGCCAACACTATAATTGTATTTAAACACTTACACATTTCCCCATTAATAGCGATAACAGAGAGTGAGAAAAGGGGGATATTTGCACGTTGTGGATAATCACAAGAACCGCCTAAGGAAAACATGGTCGTTGTATACTGTTAAACAGTAGAAATATATGTCGTACCTTGATAAATGTGTTAGATTTGAAACTAAATCGCCCGTTCTGTTGCATCCCCGTTGCAACTTCGTTAAACTATTCTGTAGAAAAACCTTTCGCTAGAGTTACAAGTAGAAGAAATTTTCGTTGATGTCGCTATGATCTGTTGTGCAAAAGGATATTTCGTCAACGCGAGTATGTCGAAGTACTTTTCTACAAAGAAAAGTATTTCGCAGACGTAGGAAGTGTTCCTGAGTTACTGTTCTAGAGAGGTTTGTTTCGCCGACGTAGCGAGTGTTCCGGTGTACTGTCCTATAGAAGTGTATTTCGCCGACATAGCGAGTGTACCGGTGTACTGTACTATAGAAGTGTATTTCGCAGACATAGCGAGTGTTTCGGTGAATTATTTTGAAAGTACATTTCGCCGACGTAGCAAGTGTACTGGTGTACTGTACTATAGAAGTGTATTTCGCCGACATAGCGAGTGTTTCGGTGAATTATTTTGAAAGTACATTTCGCCGACGTAGCAAGTGTACTGGTGTACTGTCCTATAGAGGTACATTTCGCAGACATAGCGAGTGTTCCGGTGTACTGTCCTGTAAAAGTGTGTTTCGCCGACGTAGCAAGTGTACCGGTGTACTGTCCTATAGAGGTATATTTCGCCGACGTAGCAAGTGTACCGGTGTACTGTCCTATAGAAGTGTATTTCGCCGACATAGCGAGTGTTCCGGTGTACTGTCCTATAGAAGTGTATTTCGCCGACATAGCGAGTGTTTCGGTGAATTATTTTGAAAGTACATTTCGCCGACGTAGCAAGTGTACTGGTGTACTGTCCTATAGAGGTATATTTCGCAGACATAGCGAGTGTTCCGGTGTACTGTCCTGTAAAAGTGTGTTTCGCCGACGTAGCAAGTGTACCGGTGTACTGTCCTATAGAAGTGTATTTCGCCGACATAGCGAGTGTTTCGGTGAATTATTTTGAAAGTACATTTCGCCGACGTAGCAAGTGTACCGGTGTACTGTCCTATAGAAGTGTATTTCGCCGACATAGCGAGTGTTCCGGTGTACTGTCCTATAGAAGTGTATTTCGCCGACATAGCGAGTGTTTCGGTGAATTATTTTGAAAGTACATTTCGCCGACGTAGCAAGTGTACTGGTGTACTGTCCTATAGAGGTATATTTCGCAGACATAGCGAGTGTTCCGGTGTACTGTCCTGTAAAAGTGTGTTTCGCCGACGTAGCAAGTGTACCGGTGTACTGTCCTATAGAGGTATATTTCGCCGACATAGCGAGTGTTTCGGTGTACTGTCATATAGAGGTATATTTCGCCGACATAGCGAGTGCCTCTTTGTACTGTCCTATAAAAGTGTGTTTCGCCGACGTAGCGATTGCCTCTTTGTACTGTTCTATAAAAGTATGTTTCGCCGACGTAGCGAGTGTTCCGGTGTACTGTACTATAGAAGTATGTTTCGCTGACGTAGCGAGTGTTCCGGTGTACTGTCCTATAGAAGTGTATTTCCGAAACATTTTCTTCTTAAAACGGAAAAGAAATTCTGTAACACAACCAACAGAACAGTGATGGTTGTGTTAAAGGAACTGTAATGGTAAACATCATACATTATAACTAAGACGCCTTCAAATAACGTTAATCCAACCCGAGCCTGAATTTTTTGCCTAACGACCGTTAAAATGATGGTAAAGACTCGAAAAAAGACCTCCATTCATCAACAGGGTAATTTACGTTAATCATTAAGCGAAAGACTTTTTAATTTGATGGGCAGATCATTAAAGGTGATATCATACATTAGAGATCGTTGGGTGTTCTAGACCCATTCTCCAATATAGTGTTAATTATCTTTCTGGTTTTAAACGGGAACACATATCGCATCGAGAAATGTATTTATAGTCTCCTAGTGTTTAAGCAGATTATGAAAAAAGTGTTCACATATAACCCTTCGTTACGAGCTGTATTGAGCTCTCGGACGATAGGATCTGATATTGGTTTGCGGTCACTGCCGAGAAAGCAAGGTGCCCCGCCCACTAATTGGCGAAATGCGGTGCTATTAGTTCGGTACAGATTTATCCCAGACTCGGGGTCACGTGGCACAAACAGATGGTTTACGTCAAACCGTCTGACTCGCTATGGATGTTATTACACGTGTATTGCACGACAAATAGTTATACGGCACAGTTCCTGTTGGGGTAGGGTAATATATTTGTGGGTTCGACCAGCTATAACTGTCACCTCTATTTGAAACGTCACCGAATATTTTTAATGTTGTTTGTTTTTTCTCATTGGACAACCTTTGTAACAGTTTCCAGACTACATTTGCTAACCCTTAGCGCTATAAGCACCATAATATCACTATACCGGATCACGGTTTTGCAGTGGTTATTTATGTCCAGACCGTGTGCCTGACTAATTCGGCCAACGCCTGGTTTCCTATTTAAAATGACACGACAGCACAGCAGGACATCGAAACTTGTTTAGGTGCCACTCAGCATTTCATTTCATCCTTGTTTTCGTTAAGTCGATCCAGAGTGGGTGTTATTATGATAACATTTTATGTGGTGGTATTTTTTTGTCTTCTAGTTGACACCTACGTTGACACCTACGTCAGGTTTCCACGATAAAATTATCCCAAGTGTTGAGATATGCATTTCATCGCATGTTATTTGCGTTAGCCTACATTCTGAATTTATTTTTTGTGATAAATTTTAGTGAAAAATTCGTCTGTATTAAAACTGCTGAACAAACATGTTATTTTCTAATATCACATTCGCCCTACCAGTGATAAGCACAGTTTCGGGGTTGTTGTGTTTTCTTTGTGTTTTCCTGTGCTTCTGGCCAGAATCCCAGTCGTAGCACTTGTCAAGATATTCTATAGTGTGTAACACTTAAGACTGAAGCTACAAATTAAAAGATCTGAGGACAAGTTTGTTTTCCGGATTGGATCCATCCAACCGACGTATTGCCAGATGGTCTTCCTTAGCATCCTGTCATTCGCAACGACATATGGCTTAATTAACGACATTTCTTCCAAAGAAAAAACATAAAGAGAAGAAAAAAATCTCTCACCGTACCTTAATAAAAAAATCTTCTATTCGATAAACTTTGAAATCCAAAAGGAAGTTGATATCCAATGACAATATAGATATTATTAACACCTAACTACACCACATTCACTGACAACACGCCATTTTGGACTGTCATACAGAAAATGTGTTGACAAGAACAAGACAGCAAACACAATTTTTTAAAAGTATACTCACCAGACCGTTACAAACTTCCAGTGCCACTGTTGATGACGTTTCTCCAAGAACCTCCCCAGTGAAATGACAATGTTCTTCATCTGGTTCTACACCGGTGAATACGGAATCTGTCACATTTCCGAACAAATTTTTACGCTTTTCAACAATTAGGGACGGAAAGTATAATTTATAATTTGGTTTAACTTTTAAATAAATAGGTTTATTCTCTATATCCACTTTATAATGCACTGTGTGGTCAGGTGTCTTGTCCGACTGAGGGTACTCTTCGGTACTCCTCTTCCTCCGCCGTATATTAGGATGTAAGGAATGATCTATGTGGATGCCATCTGCGGTCACCCTGGATGGAACTGCAAAGTCATATCTTTCTAGTCCTTGAGCAAATTCCTCTGAAACCAAACGAAAAGAACGATAAAATATCAACCAATATTATTATTTATTCGTTCATTTTATTTTATTTTTTTGTTAATTGCAGTCAAGTTATAGTGACTGTTGGCTGGTTTTGTATTTGTAAGGTTGGTCCGTTTGACCTGTGTCACCAGCTAAGCGAACAAATGTTTGAAGTAAGAAACTTTTAACACTTAGAAACAGCATATTTTAGGTAACGCCATTTTTTTATTAACACTGCAGAATAATCATCCTTCGGTTGGTACGGACATACTGAGATTTCTTGATTTCATTTTGTTGATTCGGTTACGAATATTACACCAGTAACATGCATACATGGTTATACAATGAACCTTCAACATGTGCCTACTGTGTATTTGGATGGAGAAAGATCAGGATATGTACTATTTATAACGATCTTTTCTGCTCTTGTAATTAAAGCTGTATGCACTACAAAAAGTATTTTTGGACATGGAATCATCTAATGCACGTGACCTTGATATAAGAGTATTTTTAGCCTATGCGTTTTGGACGTATCATCAACAGGCTATCCACCGAATTTCTACTTACAAGCTGACTTTACATTTATTTTTCTTAATTTCATTTTTTTCTATTTTCGACAGGTATCCATGTAAATCAGTTCACGTCACAGACCCTGTCCAGTGTGGGGTTTTCTAGTGCGTGGATGACGTTGTCAAGATCTGAAACCATACCAACAGATGGACAACACTGGGTGTGGCCTGTAATTAAATATCTAATGAGGTTACGTCAAACCCAACAATCTAAAGTTATAGACTTAAAGACAAATACAAGCAGTGATCAAATAGTATATCGCCATACCGTCAGGGAGATAACCCCGACCCCGGTTGACGTTGAAACCTGATGGAATCGGAAACCTCACATAACGTCTTACATACAAACGGACATTAACGGGTTCCATTTCCATTCAATCAAAACTATAAAACACGAACTTGTGTTGTTCCAGGGTAAAATGTCACCAGAATACATAGATAGGTTTATTTCCGAACCGTTTAGCTACTACTAGGGACAGATTAAATGGAGCCGAATTGTTTATTAGTGTGGTGATGGTATCGCCATCAGAAGTTTTTTTTGAGAGTTTGGTGACAGGTACACGTTAGCTAACCTGTTTACTCGTGTTAAATACCTACACTATTAGCTCGAGCCTGGCCCTTTTATAATTTACCTGCCGTTGATAATGACAGCTTTGATACACCTGTATATTTCGAACAGACTACCATGTATAGTGTTGATCATTTAGCCATGAATAAATCTAGTAAGACATTTCAGCAAACCGCAAAACACACATATCGCACATCATCTCATTATTACAATAGCATATATATTTTTATCTGTTTGAAGGTTTTGGTTTTTTATTAAACCGTCCCGATGTCGAGAGGAACAATCGGGCTTACCCTGGTCTCAAATGTATGTCTCTTTGTGAATCATTCTTATGTAATTACATAGTATATTTTGGTGACCGTAAGTTTGAGCTGCTAAGTTGATAGGTCTACCAGTGAAAATAACACTCTAAAAACAAAACTAAACAAAAACTGTTCAAGGCATCGACGGTGACAAGAGTTCTGTGAACACTGTCATTTTGATTTATGTATAAATCATTGTGATACTTATCCACGCTCAATGGAAATTGTAAGATCTCAAGGTCTGTGTGACGAAACTCACAATTTTCGCAAAGCACCCGAAGACCTTTTACCTAAATGAAGTTTTTTTTCGAAATTTCAGTCAATTTCGTAATGAGTCACTCGAAACATAGTAGCACGTGACCTAAAAGTAAAGATATCGCTTTCTTGATATATTTTACAAAGATAATACCACTTTCTGAGTAAATATTAACTTACACTTTGGTGAGCTTCAAAATTGGGTAGCTAAAATATAGTAAACATAGCTCAATGAAATGCAGTATCTTACGGAACTTTGTGGAGTAAGGAAAGCGGCGAGAGGGACGGAACACTCATTAAGGGAATAGATGGGGATGAAAGATACAGTCAGCTCCGTGTTTATCACTAACAACACCAATATATGCAGTGCGCGCAATTGCGAAAACGTCTGGGTAAATCTGCGTCACTTGTGTTTTTATTACGCGAAGGGTCGAGAACAATACTAAACACTTAACTTTGCCACCAATTGTTATTATTTCCCTTATTTATGTTTCCTTTTCCCTTTGCGTTATCAAAGACAAGATGCGGAAAGTTTCCACTTGATTACGCAGGTTTAGATCGTACGAGTTTGTCTAATTAAGTACCAACCTTCCTGAAGTTGATTAGTACGCGAATCTTCCTGCCTTTGGTTAATGTTCTGTACGGTATGGGACAGGTAATGTCTTGCGTCATAATATATTACTAAATACATGTTGTCTTTGATAACAACGACTCTCATTAAATCCCCATTGGCGTAATTGCCAAATAGACACTGGAGAATAGGATGGGAGGCACTTCCATCACAGTACACTCTTCAGGGCCATAGCTTACAGCAACATCAGGATGAAAGTGAGAAATGTTTTACTTCGCAAATTTTTAATGTTTCAAATTCCAAAATGTGTATCACGCGTTTTGCGTTTATACCCCACAACACCTGTAATTATATAATTAGTATCCTTCATTTCTACCTTTGATAACGGATATGACATGAATAAGATAGATAAATCAGCGGTCTAGAACATCGTCTGGGCGCCTGAGAAAGTGTACCATCCCCTGTCTCTCGTTAGCAGACAGTAACTCGACTCATGCTATTGCCCAGCTTTACCGGAATCAGAGTCCGGAACAATACACCATTTAGTTATTACAGAGACGGACTCCAATTCAATTAAAAAAAAAACAACGTAACAGTCGATGAAACAAATTTTGTAGTACAATTGTAACATCCGATATATGATGAGACGGTCTCAGGTGAGAAAAAACTCACCTGGACAGACGCCGAATGTGCTACAGAACACACGTCCCGTTACAAATAAAACTCGGGACCTATAACCTACCATCGAGGTGGTCCTTTTTTCCAGTTAATATAATTTCATATATCTGCTCTCTATGAATGACACATCAGGGAAATGGAAGGTTATCGGGTATTTTGTTACTCGGTGTAGTCGGAGCAATTTTACGGGTTAAGAAATGAGATTTGAAGTGTCTCTGATCGAGTTAGCCTCAAGGAAAAATGTGTACAAAACCAAACTTCCCTCCTAAAGGCAGGCACTTTCCGTTTTATTAAAGGTCCTCAGGTAGTAGATCTTTTATCTTTTTAGTTTGTTTTTCACATATTACTTAAACGGTCTTTGTCCTTACTTTCTACCACGAGCGTTTGAAACGAGAGAAGGCGATTTGTAGATACATATGAATAGTCACACTCCACAAGATTGCGGTAGGTACATTATTTAAAAAGGGTCATCATGCTCGCCTAGCAGTATGCTAAATATGTAATTACTCTACATCAAAGACGTTTATGATAGAGAAGTCAAACGATCGAAGTTTAAGGTCGGCATTTTTTATTATAAAGAAATTCCAATCATATCAGACATATAATTAGGAAACTGATAGAGGTCACGTGGGTCATCTTGGACGCCGTAGTTATAGCGGGACAGGGGACAGCATTAGCATGCGTGACAATCACAATGATGGTGTCAATAAAGAGGAAAGACGAGAACTAACAATGACTATTTAAAGAATTATTGAGGTGTATGGTTGATCCACATATGACGTGATTAACGGTAGTATACACTAGAAATATGACCAGTTTTGTCTGCTAATGGCGAGATATCTGTTTTTGTAAAACATAACGTAAACGGTATCAAAATACGTCTTAAGCAGTTATTGAATTTGTTTCAACGGGAATACTAGACAAGCATTGGACCATATTACTTCGCGACATGCACATCTTCATTGATCAATTCAGGGCTTGAGAGGTGCGAGGTAGTCTAGAACGGACGAACGTGTTGTAACATTTCAAGGCTTGGTAGGTGCGAGGTAGTCTAGAATGGACGAACGTGTTGTAACGTTTCAAGGCTTGAGAGGTGCAAGGTACTTCATAACGGACGGACATGTTGTAACAGTTGAAGGTCTGACAGGTGCGAGATATCTTGAACGGACGAACGTGTTGTAACGTTTCAAGGCTTGAGAGGTGCGAGGTACTTCATAACGGACGGACATGTTGTAACAGTTGAAGGTCTGACATGTGCGAGGTACTCTTGAACGGACGAACGTGTTGTAACAGCTGAAGGCTCGAGTGGTGCGAGGTACTTTAAAACGGACAGACATGTTGTAACAGTTGAAGGTCTGACAGGTGGAGGTACTCTGGAACGGACGAACGTGTTATATCAGTTGAAGGCTTGAGTGGTGCGAGGTACTTTAAAACGGACGGACATGTTGTAACAGTTGAAGAATTGAGACGTGTTGGGTACTCCAGAACGGACAGATATGTTGTTACTGTGTAAAAATGCTGCTCGATCAGTATAATGTCGACTGAGTGTAATACGCATTAAAGCTGATTTTCAATGGTAAAACAACATTTGCATATCGTACAGAGTGTAACATCTTGATGTTTGACGAAACCACTAAACCTTGATCCTGATTTTATCAATGAACAAATTTTGTGTCGTTAATAAAATTCATCAATGGGACTTATAGTGTAGAACATTCTCAAGCATTTGAACCAGAGCGCGACCATCTTATACTATTCTTTCTATGAAAACACTGATGTAATCAATCCATTAAGCCTTCCTGTAGAGGACGTTAGATCACGTAGGGCGGAAGTCACCAATCAGAGAGCGTAACACCACATCAGACGGGACTTGCCCAGCAGAGGGCGTTTGATCACGTCAGGCGGGAGTCACCCACCACAAGGCATTAGACCATGTCAGACGGGAGCTTTCTACGAGAAATCATAACACCATGTCAGACGGGACTCTTCTTCAAGAGGTCATACCAAGATAGACGGGACTTGTCCACCAGAAGGCATAATATCATGACAGACGATA